AAACCGACCGATCGAACCGATCGGTCGGTCGATTGGCGCCTTGGTCGATTTCAACGAGGTCGGCCAAAAACCGATCCCGACCGACCGTTGCTCAGCCCTATTCAACTTTTAAGACAAAATTTTGGTTTAATAAGTTATATTTTAAGCTTATATCTATTTTTAAAAATATATAATTTAACTTAAACTTTTTATTCTTTTCCTATGGACGAGGATGAGCACTTTGAATTTTTTACTTCACCATGAATATTTAATAAAACTGATAAGGTGTCCCAAATTTTACACCATTAAATTTTGTTTGTTTATTTTTTTTTTTTTAAGAATCTCCTCGGCGATTCCTCGATTTTAATATTTTTGTAATCGCTTTTTAACTATCTCTAACACCTTTTAATAGTAATATTGAGTGTTAACAAGGCAACTTAACACTTATTTTAATTTGTAAAATATTATGCAAATATTTAATAATAAAGATAAAAAATAATTTTATGTAAATTTTAATACGATACAAGTTTCTATTATTGTAATAGATATTTGTATGTTTCCTTAATGGAAAGCAATATATATATATTCATAACGTAACAATAATACTACCTCATATATATTTAATACTTTTTTTTTTGGAATATATATTTAATACTTTGTTATTATTATTATTCTTCAATAATGATATATTTATTAATTTATTAATATTAACTCTAATTGACTAGAAATATATTTTTGTATTCTACACGAATAGGGCCATAGGTCATGTTTCCATTAGAAACATTCTAAGTCAAGTAAAAAACTTTTAAAAAAATAATCAGTATAATTTGGAAAACATAGGTCATGTTCAACACTTATCTCCTAAATCGGTTCATAATTATTTATTTTAGGAAAAAAAAAATCTCTCATCTCTCTATTTTTTTTTTAATTTTTTTTCTCTCTTTCTTATCAACAAATAAAGCATTAATTAATTAGAAAGTGGTTGTCACGGCTAATTAAGAGTAGGTAGGTGTAGTTGCAACTAATCGAATAATGCTTCTTATCAAGAAGTGTTCCAAGTCATTTGATTATGTATTATTCATCGAGAAATTAAAGATATCTAAAAAAYAAATTTAAATCTTGTTTTGATTCTTACTTAGTTCTTAATTTTTAGAATGTCTATATTTTAAAGTGTTTGAGGTTGTTTTTTTTTATAATATTTTTATCCTTATCATTTTGCCATAGATCTACCGATAATGTGACAAAACCATATTGTTTAACTTCATTGACATGGGAACGTTAGAATATCACAATTTTTTAGCATCCAAATCTCTTTATTGTTGCACCTTCAGGTGTTGGCGCAGTGGCAAGGGATTYGGGTGTTGACATCCAAGATCCAAGTTCGAGCCCTCCTGTATCTCGAAGTCAAAAAAAAAAAAAACCTCTTTGACTTTAATTTTCTTGAGGAATATTTCCTATGTGAGCTTGGTACTAATTGATAAGGAAGTTTCCTTTTTGCCCTTTTTGTTGCTTTGGTTTGGATAAAGGAATGGAAACATCATCTGGGTGGTTGAAGAATTCACTGAAAAAATTACATCCATTTTTCCTTCTCGTTTCAAATACATGTTTTTGAGGAGTTTATATCATGCTAAATTGGATGAAATATTTTACACAAATTAAATAGAAAGTACTTAAGTTCTTATCCGTGAGTGAGGAAGTACATTAAAAATAATTTGTCTTTGCATTTCTCTCTTAATTGTCAAATATTAAATATCGATCGTGATCTAAAAATTTTCTAAATTAAATTAATTAAAAAGTTCTAAGAGGCGTTTATCATTGCTATTATATTTTGTTAAACCACCCTTTGGAACAAAAAAATTTAAAATAAAAGATTCTTAATTGACATCCTTTCTACTAAAAGGATGTCTAAAGTCTATCCTTGATCGATAGAGATTTTTATTTATTTATTATTTTTTCTTTAATTCTGACATGTAAGGTAAAAGTCGGAACCTTGCTCACTTTTTTATCGATAAATATATATTTTACCTAGTTGAGCCATGTTGAATAATATAGAAGAACTTAACTTCCCATCATCTTAAAAACCGCGAATGAAATTGATGTTATTTTTGTTATTTAATTATAACATTTGGAAGCCCTGAGTAAGACATATATACTTGACTGCTAGGAGGTTTAATTTGATCATTAATCTCTCTTGATCTAACTAAAGATGTGCTCGGAGATTTTACTATTAATTATTTTCCCCAACAAATCCATAATAATTTAAAAAAAAAACATTTTAAATATTAATGATCAAACAATGAGCATCATTCTAACAAATTCTTCATAGTTAACAAGACCATCACCATCTAAATCTGCATCTTTGATCATTTGCTCAACCTCATCATCTGTGAGTCTCTCAATCAGGTTCATCATCACTGCCTTCAACTAAAAAACAAATTTATATATTTATATGAAAATTTTCATCAATAATAATTATTATTACTTGAATATATTACCCTCAAATTCTCATATTGTTGCCGATCAAGAGGTTGTGAATTTGATCCCCTCACCCTTACTTGTACTAAAAAAAACTTCCATATTGTTAGCAAAATTGAAAATTATACCACAATATGGTTTTTTTTTTTAGTTTTATTTCTTTGATGAGATGCTTTTCCAAAATAGAAAAAAAGCAATCAATTATATCTTTCGTTTGATTTATTTATTGAGATCAATAACATGTGCGGGTGGGAATTCGAACATTCGAATTTTTGGTCGGAGGTATATACCTCAATTAGTTGAGCTATGGGAAGATATTTTTTTCTAAATTTTGTAAATCATTAGAATATTAGAAATTATTTTCATAATATTGGGGTATGATTTACAAATTAGACAAACTATGAGGTGCAATGTGCAATTATCAATATTCATGATCAAATAAATTAGGAGTAATAATGTACCTCAAAAGGAGATATATACCCATCTTGGTCCTTGTCAAAAACTTTGAAAGTTTCTCTAAGCTCTCCTTCTAATTCACATTCCTATATATAATAACAAAAGAAGGAAGAAGAAACATTAAAGTCTATTTTTATTTTTATTTAATTATGTTGTTGAAAAATAAGATTGTTTAGGAATTAATTTTTTCTGTGTTTTGCTTCTACAAATTTTTAGAACTCGGTTAAATTTATCATATATATAATACAATTTGAAAAAAAAAAATGATAATAACTAACCTTTTTTTTTAGTCCATGTGTCCAAATAAGAAGGCTATTTATACCTATGTTTTCTTTATTATTTTCTTGAATAGATTTTTTTTAAGACAAAAGTACCATTTTAGCCTTTGTAATTTGAATTCCAAATTTAGTTTCTTTACTTTGAATAAACATTAAAATTGGTCTTCATCGTAAATTTGGAATTAATTTTTGTCCAATTTATCTAAAGGCACGTTTGGCAGCGTTTTTCCTATTTCTATTTTTTCATTTTTAATAAAGAGAAATAAATTGCATTACCCCAACATGATGTATTCAACTATGATAAAATGATCTTTTTATTTATTTTTTAGAACAAATTGGAAAGGAAAACAAGAAGAAAAGAAAAAACTTGTTTTGGTTGTTTCCAAAAATTTCTATACAATTTCGAGAATGTTCCCAAAAAGTGAAAAACGGTTAATTGCAAAATGCTTAAAATTTCTTAAAAAAAAAAGAAAAGGAAACGAGAAACACGGAACTGCAACGTTACCAAACGGGCTATAAATTACCTTCATTTTTGTGACCATAAGATTCAAGAACTCCCCAAATTCAATGGTTCCATTCCCATCAACATCAACTTCATTGACCATAATCTTCAGCTCTTTTTCAGTAGGGTTTACATCCAATGATCTCATTGCCATACCCAACTCTTCAATGGTGATGCACCCTAACCCCAAAAATCACACACAAACATAATTCATGAAAATCAAATATAAGATTATCATCTCAAAAGATAAAAGGTTCAAAATAATTCCCCCAAAAAAACAACGTCGCGTGTCGAGAAGAAGAATCGAAGAATCAAAAGAGGACGAGGACGAGGACGAGGAATACATACCGTCGCAGTCTTGGTCTAGCATGGAAAAAGCTTCTTCAAATTCTGCAACCTGTGTTTCAGACAACTCCATTCTGAAAAATGTATAAATTTAATTAGAATTGCAAAATGTGAAGCAACCTTTGGAATATATATACTCGAGGAAGTATGAATTAGAGGGGCAATTAACTTCAAGAGTTGCATAATTTTCCAANCTTCTGTTGTATTTTGTCAAAGTTGATTGGGGAAACTTTTGAGAATCTGTGGAATTCGTACCAATGACCAAAGAAACTGAGAAATATTAATTTTCTGCATTTTTGTCATTTTTTTGGTTCGAAATTTTTGTTTTCTCTTTTCTATTCATTCTTTAACCATACGACACGATGAATTAAAACAAAAAGTACATGTATCTATATTTAGTTTTTCTACTAAATAATTTATAAATAATGAAAAAGGTTTCAAATAGTTTTTTATGCAAATTAAAATATAGGAAATATGAATTTTTTAAAACATGGAGACTTAAAGTATGAAAAATTACAAACTAGAACAGTAGGACATTGAAATGCGAATTCAAGCCACACCCTAATCCTAAATAAAAAATAAGATACTCCCATTTTTTTTTTCGAAATTTATTTTAAAAAATAATTTACAAATTCAGGTGAGATTTATATATATATATATAAAACTTTCTAAATAAGACTAAAAAGTTATTAGTCGCTGTGAGGGCTAACTTTTTTGTTTTTAAAATTAGGCTATATATGATATGAAAAAACACTTTTAAAAAGTAGATAAGAAAATAAAGAAATAATTAGTACGAAAATTTAATTATTTTAAAATAGGAGATTAAAATTAAATTTTCATACAAACCTCTAAATATTTGTTTACAGAAAAATTATGCCAAAACTAAAGTTTGTACTTTGAAAAGAAGTAGAATTTGCACACCCTTTATTGGCTCTATTGCAAATTTGAAAACTAGAAGTCTTAATGGGCTAAGGATTTTGTGTTCGAAAATTTGTCATGATGTGTTGAAAAATCAAGTTGAATTTCCATTCAACAAAAAAAAAAAATGTTGAAGTGGAAATTGTCATATAAATAATTAATAGATGTCACTTCACTATAATGACCTAGATTGCCATAGAGCTCTGTATTTGAAAAATGGGTGGATATTAACAAGGGTAATTTCCATCCACATGTTTGACTAATTTTCTCCTTTCATAATAACATTGGCATTATATTGCGAAAAACTTAGTAGATTTAAAAAGTATCGACAAAATAACACTAATATAGATATATGTAATAATACGAACTTTTATCGACAATTTGAATATAGTTCAATAGGTTAAGATACTTATGTTCGTGGTTGCACGTACTTTTACCAATAAAACTTAAGAAATACTTAACCTAAATTTAGTTGAAAAAGTCATCCCAATTAGAAAAATTAGTACCACGAATATTTGCAACTAACTCCATTTTTTTTTATAATGGTAGGTGTTAATCCGCAAATAATTTAATTTTAATGGTCAATTAGATAAGATTAAAATTTTAAGGTTAAATACAAATCACTGTGAATAAATAAAAAATGATTTAAAAAAATGACCTTTAAAAAGTGAACATTTTAGTCCCTTCATTTTCATTTTTGTTTCATATCTTACAATCATTATTTTAGCACGGTCACTCACTAAATCTCTTGAAACATAGTTATATATTTATATTAAGAGTTGCTAATGTGTATAAAAAGTATGTTAAAATTTTGTCAAATAGCGACCAAATCAATCGTCTTTTAACAATACATGGACCAGCATGATAACTTATATGTCGTTCTATATCTCCATGAATCTAGGAACTTTTGYTCGCATTGTATCATTTGGTCTACATACCGAAAATAATAACATTCGAGATTATGCAGGATTATACACAAAAGATCCTTTTTTGACTTTCTTTAGCCATATATCTCTTGAAATTATATAGATTAAAACGAATCAAAAGTAGAAAAATTAAGGAATATTTAAATAGATAACCATGGTTAAATAATACAGTTTATTATACTCATACAAATATACCTTTGAAAAAAATTGATACTATAATGAATCCTTATGAAATTAATTAATTAGAAAGAGGGAATTTGGGATCAAATAAGAAGCATCATTCTAACAAATTCTTCATAGTTAACAAATCCATCTCCATCAAAATCAGCTTCTTTGATCATTTGCTCAACTTCTTCATCTGTTAATTCTCTCTACCAAATGGATCATTACATGTTTCAACTGTCAAATGATCGTAAACAARGTTAAAATACTATTTTGGTCAAKGTACTTTTAGTTTTGATTCATTTTAATAGTTTATGTACTTTCAATATTGATTTATTTTAATCCTATTTGTTTTTGTTTCTATACTTAAAAGAAAATGATTATTTTGGTCCCTATTTTGTAAATATTAACACAAATTTTAYACATAACGAAAACATTTTAATATAAATTCATGGTTACATTTCAAGAATTATACCGAGTATGRTGTGTGTTGAAATTGTGATATAAAAAATGACATTAAAAATGAAATTAAGAAATCAAAATATTCATTTTAATAGTATTGGGATCAAAACAAACATTTTAAAAGTACGAGGATCAAAATGAACCACAGCTGAAAATTTAAGATCAAAATGAACATTTTAAAAGGACCGAGAACAAAATAATATTTAAAANATGAAGACTTAATATTTTTCTTTACCTAAAATTCAAATCTTCATTTTGCTACCAACCCCTTATTTTTGTTTATTTTGATTTTTAAATTTTCCTTCTACTTTATTCCCTAGCCTTTGCATAAAAAATAATAATAATAAATAAATAAAACTATTTTAATTTTGACCATCAATTTTCATTTTGTAGTTGAGATTATTTTTTTTTTCTGTACATTTTTCCCATAAGTAAATATCTACTTAGACAAAGTATTTGAAACTATATGTAATGGGTAGTAAGTTAAGTGTGTGAGATTTCAAATTTATTTTTAAAATTTTTTTGTTAAATAACTAATAGAAAAAAAATCAACATAAGGGTGAAAGTAGTTTTTCGTGTTATGCATAATTTAGAAATTAATTAACAAATTGAGACATTAACRGATGTTGGAAGATTTAAATTAAAATACTTGAAASCTTAGAGATGAAAATGAAATAAATAGGAAAGTTGGGCAATTAAAACGAGATTTTAATTTTTTTAACTTTATATAGTATTTGAAAATTATGTTTTTAAAGAAGTAATTAATTTAAGAAAATATAAACTAGATTAATTAGAAGTCAAACCTCGTTAGGTGATATGTAGCCATCTTGATCCATGTCAAACACTTTGAAAGCTTCTCTCAGTTCTTCTTCGGCTTCATTTTCCTAAATAATTCAAATACACCCATTTTATATTTTTGTAAAACGTTTCTTTTTTCTTTTTTATGTAGCAATTATTATATTTAAAAAAATATTAGAATTATGAGGAAAAGAAAAAAAAAAAAGATTCCATTTTTTTACTCAGGCACCATCTTCAATTTTAACCTTAAATTTTCAATTTTCATCCGATAAGTGGTAGTGTATATATATATTTTGATATCAGTAAGTGGTGGAGTTACTGCATTTTCAAAACTAAAATTGAAATTTTAAATCATTTTGGTTTACTTTTATGTTTTTGTCGATCTACGCATAAAGTTTTTAAGTTTTTATTTATTTTAAGTTTGTACTTCCAAAACGTCTATTTTTTGTTTTTAAAAATTATTTTTGTCTCTCTCTTTTATTTTTTATTATAATTTAAGTACACATATTACAAATAAATTTATATTAAAGAATTTTTTGTATTAAAATTTTCGTACGGAGACTAAAATAATCTCTTTTTAAAAGTATAGTAACAAAAATAAATATTTTCAGAATATAAGAATTAAAATAGACAAAAAAAAAATGAAAATATAGGAACAACCAAAATTAGCATTTTAAAAATATAGAGACTAAAATGAAGCAAAAGCTAAAATAGTACGAGAATCAAAATATAATTTAAACAAAAATGTAAACTGGCTCATATACGACTAACCATGACAAGTAAATGAAACAAAATTCAACCGACAAGGATCAAAGTATTATCTATATCAAGTCATATAAATGCCTAATGGACAATTGACTTATGTTTTATTTATATGATATATGATATTATTCACTTTAACCTAAGGTACGTCGTTTAAATTTTAGAAATTTACTAAAATGTTTGTACGAATAAAGGTATAATATTATCTTAATTCATATATTTGAGATTCTTTTTTTTTAAATTTCTAACTCTTGTGAGATGATATTCACGTATTCACATCCTAGGAAATTGCTAGAAAATCACTCAATCAAGCCACTCAATCAAGCCACCATTGAATTATTATTTTTTCGTTTTTTATTCAAACCTTCAAATCGGTGAATACTTTAAGCATTGAGCTACGTTCATGTCGATTGAATTCTACTTATACTTGATATCATATATCCTACATAATTACTTAATAGGATCTAAAAACTATTGAATGTTAATATTACGTGCCAAACTAATTAATTATCATATTAAACTATCAACATATTGCATTTAATTAATTTATTTATCAGATTCTTAAATATAAAACATGCTTGCTTACTTTATCAGAACAAAATGAAGATTTGATCATTTTTGTTTAACTATAATTATTGAAAATATAATGATGCTTATTTAAAAAGATAATTGGCTTGCTTTATTAACAAGCTACAGATTTCCATAAATCATTGAAATAAAAATATAAGCCAAAACTTATATGCCAAGAAATTGGAGCTCATAAGGCTGGTTGAAAATTATATTGATAATAAAACGGCAAACAGAAGTATAGAACAAATTAATTTAATTGATGCATATAAATTTTATATGAAAATTCCTTACAAGTAAAAGATAAAATTTTACACTATGATAAAAACATCCAAGCGAGTCAAACTCAACGATAATTAACATATATCTCCAACCAAGAGGTCGTAAGTTCGATCCCCGACTCCCACATGTTGTATTAAAAAAATTATGCAAGATAAATCTGGCATTACTAATGACATTATTTTTTTCTCAATTAAAAATGTTGGTCTCAC